TGTAATAGGAGCCTCTATAAGAAAAAGACCCAAAAAATCGAGACTGTCCCTATAAAATCAGGACATCTGGTCACCCTAGGAGAAAACAGGGTCCGGGGGAGTTTCAGTCCCAGCCCTGACCAGGAGTTGGGGTGGGGGCAGGCTGCTCTATCAGGAGCGCTCCTGGAGCGTCACTGATTTTTCTTTTTCCAGAGCACGAGGGAGGGAGTTGATGTTCCCATCCTGCCGGGTGTGTGGCCAGCCCAGCCCTGTGCCTTCCCCATAGTCCTCCGCACACACCTGTAGTGAAGAACAGCCTCACCCGACACATAGGTGAACAGGACAAGATGGGGAAGAGTCAACATGGCTCTTGTAAAGGGAAATCTGCCTCCCCAAGCTATTACAGTTCTTTGAGGGGGTCAACAAATGGGGACAAAGATGATCCAGTGGATATAGGGCACTTGGACTTCAGAAAGCCTTTGACAAGGTCCCTCACTGAAGGCGTTTAAGCAAAGTGAGCAGTCATGGGATAAGAGGGAAGAGCCTCTGAGGGATCAGTAACTGGGTACAACCTAGGAAACAAAGGCTAGGAATAAATGGGCAGTTTTCACAGAGGAGAGAGGTAAATAGCGGGATCTCCCACGGATCCGTGTTAGGACCAGTGTTGTTAATTTATTCATAAATAATCTAGAAAATGGGTAAACAGTGAGGTGGCAAAGTTTGGTGATGATACAAAATTACACAAGATAGTTAAGTCCAAAGCTGACTGTGAAGAGTTACCAAGGGATCTCCCTAAGTGGGTGACTGGGTAACAACTTGGCAGATGAAATTCAATGTTGATAAATGTAAAGTAATGAGCATTGGAAAACATCATTCCAACTATGTATACAAAATGATGGGGTCAATATTAGCTGTTACCACTCAAGAAAGCGATCTTGGAGTCATCGTAGGTATTCTCTGCAAACATCCGCTCAATGTGCAGTGGCAGTCAAAAAAGCAAACAATGTTGGGAATCGTTAGAAAAGGGGATAGCGAATACACCTGAACACATCATAATCCCACTTTATAAATCCCTGGTACACTCACAGCTTGAATAGTGCATACAGTTCTGATCACCCCATCTCTAAACAGATACATCGGAATTGGAAAAGGTGTGACGAGGGGCATGGAACAGCTTCTCTGTGAGGCAAGAGTAACAAGACTGGGACTGTACAGTTCAGAAAAGACGACCAAGGGGGATACAATAGAGTCTGTACAATCATGAGTGGTGAGGAGAAAGTGAGTAAGGACCTGTTATTTATCCCTTCACATAACAAGAACCAGGCGTCACCCAATACAATTAATAGACAGCAGGTTTTATACAAACAAAAGGAAGTTCTCCATACAAGGCAATCAACCTGGAGAAACTGTTGCCAGAGGATGCTGTGAAGGCCAAAAGTGTAACTGGGTTAAAAAAATAACTAGTTAAATTCCTGGGGGCTAGGTCAGGGGTGGGCAAACTTTTCGGCATGAGGGCCACATCTGGGAATAGAAATTGTATAGTGGGCCATGAATGCTCCATCTGGGGGTGCGGGCTCTGGGGTGAGCCTGGGGATGAGGAGTTTGGGGTGTAGGAGGGTGCTCTGGGCTGGGACCGAGGGGTTCGAAGGGTGGATCAGGGTTGAGGCAGGGGTGTCCTTTCTGGACAACTGAAAGCACACCAGTTTCCAGAGCTAAGGGACAACAGGAGCCTACATGTCCCCAGAGGGGTCCCCACCCACCAATACAGGCCTGGTCTGCTGGTCCCTGAGCGACTGCTGTATCCACGCCACCCCCAGCAGAGCAGCGAGCATGGACCGTGACTGTCATGGGGCAGAGCAGCACTGGATGTCCTGCCCACAGAGGCCATGGCTGACGGAGCCTAGCGCGTGCCTTGACTGGCCCAGGTGTGCGATTTAAGGGCTAGAGGAAACACCTGGAGGCTGTCTGTGCAACTAGGCAGATCGCCGCGTGCTGCTGCTGCTAACAGACCCTGCTGCACACTCCCGACACCTGGCCTTGCTCCCGGCTCCACACCTGACGCCCTGCTTCTCTTCCACGAACGCTACTTCAGCGGGCTCCTGGGCTCCAAACTGGTGCGGCTCATCGACCTCGACTGCGACCTGATCCTACGGCAAGACCCTGCTGCGGATGCTATTCCTGCCCTTGACTCTAGACTGCACTTGGGCCATGTCGCCTCCAACCCAGGCCCTGACCTCAACCCGACCCTATAGCCCGGGTCCTTATGGCCCCAAACTGGGCCTGTACCTGAGCATGATGAGACGTGGGAAGCAGAAGGCATCGGACCTGGCATATTGTAGGCCGAGCTGGGCTGAGGGGGGCAGGTGGGTTGACACAGCCTCTGCCACCACCTGCCAGGCAGCTGTGTAGTTGGCAAAGAGGCTGCAGGCCCTGGAGGAAGGGACCTGTCCGTGGTGTCTGAGAGCAGAGCTGCAGGGGTGGTGATGGGCAAGAGGTGGGCGCTGCCTGCTCCCCACTGATGTCCCCGGAGCAGTGCCCTGCCCAGGAGCCGCCTGGGGATGCCCTCGCGCACCTTGCGAGGACGTAGCCCAAGGAGGCCGACACCAGGATCAGGCCCAACAGCAGCGTCCGCTGGAAGAGTCAGTGGAACTGGATGTACGAGAGTCTCAGGGAGGGTCTGCAATCCCTGTACAGAGTGTGCTGGGGGGAGAGAGGGTCACAGGAGCCCTGCACTCCCCGCCTACCCCCACGCCCGGTGCTGGGCCAACCCTCGTCCCCCCCTTCCCAGGCACTGGGGTCTGGCCCTACCGCCCTGACTCCCAGCCCCTGGCCTCTCAGAGGCTAATGGCCACAGGCTCGGCTGTAGTTTGGTTCCCTTCCTGGAGCTGGAGCAGCAGGGCAGACAGAAGGCTCAGCAGAGATGGGTCTGTCTTGGGGTTACACCGCAGGATTAGCTCCCCTGCTCACCCCACAGTCTGAGACACACACTGGCCCCAAGCACTCTCCGATCACAAGGGAGACGGGGTGGGGCCCCGTGGGGTACATGCCAGAACTGCCACCTGCACAGCCCCAGAGGTGTGGACTGGGCGCTGGAGAAGGCCACCGTACCCTCAACCTCATCCAGAGACTTCCAGAGCTGGCAGGTCCCTGGCAGGCTCTGTGCTCCCTCCCAGAACCGCTGCTCTCGCCTCCAGGACCCCAGCAGGACCGGTCTCCCTCCTGGGATGCTCTCAGCTGCCTGCTGGAAGGAGATGGAATTCAGTTCCTGTATGAAAACCCACGGGGGTTTCACGGGTGCTGCTGGGAGATCTGCCCACGAAGCATTTCGATCCACAGCCATCCCTGCTCTGTCACTACCACGGCCCCATTCCCGCTGTGTCCCAGGCCGGTGAGGCCCTTGTCCAGCCGTGGCCGGAGGTGGGGGGCTCTCACATCCTAGGGCCCCTTGCCCAGGGGTGGACAGGATGATGAGACGCGCAGTTTAGCCCCATTTGACGAGCAGGAGGCTAAACCCTCCTGTCCAGCCCCTGTGATGCTGTTGCAGTCAGGCCCTGACCTAAGCAGGCGCTTCTCCTGTATAGAGCAGCGGTCTGTCCTGGCCCCGTCAGGACCCCAGCTTGGGCCTCCCAAGGGCCCCTTTCACCCCCAAATCAGCCAGAACTAGCCTGGCTGTTGCTGCACCTGCCCCTTGGGCTCCTCTCCCTGGTTGTTTTCGGCCGTGGCTGAGGAGGAGCCGCGAGCTCAAGTCCCAGTCCGTCCAGACACATCACTGCGGCCGCTAGGGCTTGCTGCTCTCCCTCCGAAAGAGAAAGTGACTCACTGCTCGCCCTGCCCGCGCCCCGGCACTGACACCTCTCAGCCAGCTCTGGCTCTGGCTCCTCCAGGGACAAGGGAGGTGCTCGAACCACAAACCCCAGCCCTGGCCCAGGTCCTGCACTTACTTGTGCTGTGATAACAGCCCTCAGCTGGGCTGATGAGTTACTGATAGCGCCTCAGGGCCATGTGACAGGACCTATGGCCCCCCACCGTTTCCTTTGCTGCCTGCAAGGCAAGATACCAGGGTGATGCATGAAACCAAACTGCAGCCAAGGGCTTGTGGTGCTGAGGGCAGAGCCTGGGTGGCCCTAGGGGCTTGTGCAGTCTGCTGAGGGAAGGGATGAGTGGCATCAGCTGGAGGGGGCAGGGCCAGGTTTACCTTTAACTCCTTCTCTCCTCATGAACTGGGGAGAATGGGGATTAGTTTTCCCCGGGGTTTTACACCCTTCCCGAGCCCTGTTTTGGGTATGGGCATCCGCAATCTGTGCAACATGTAGGACTGACTCAGGGTCCCTGTCACACACAGCTGCTCTCACATGGTCAGGCACAATGTCTAAGAACTGTTCCAAAGTTACTAAATCCAGCAGTTTTTCAAAACTCCCATGCACCTTTTCTCCCATAACCCACTTTTTAACAAAACCCATCAGCTTATGAGCACATTCTACGAAAGTACAATCCTTAGACATCTTAAACTTTCTAAACTCTATAAGAATCAGGAGTAACCTTGAACCGCCTTAACACAGAATCTTTAAACCACCCATAATTTAAGGCTTCTTGTTCCCCCAATTCATTAAATACCTCCCTGGCTTTTCCAGTCAGTCTGGTCAGCAGGACAGGCATTCACTGACCCTCGGGGATCTGGTACAGATTGCAGAGGTGTTCAAAGGTAGACAAAAACTCCTCTATAACCTCAGTATCATTGTAAATGGGACACATCCTTTCCCAGTTTTTCTCATGGCGGGG